CAGTCCAGTCGTTGTGTCCAGTCCAGTCGCTGCGTCTTGCTCCTGTCGCTCTCTCGCCCACCGCACCGTCCTGTGGCACCGCCGCCTTGGCCACCCGTCGATCCCTCCCCTTCGTGGCATGCTCAGTCAGGGACTTGTCACAGGTCTCCCACGCACCTTCCCGTCGCTCCCTCCCTTGCTTGCCCCTCCTTGCTCTCCGTGCGTCGCCGATCGCTTATGCGCCACTCCCCACTCCTCCCTTCGTCTGGCCACCGCTCCCCTCTCCACTTGGACGTCTGGGGCCCTGCCCTGACGTAGGGGTCTGGGAGAGAGCGTTACTTTCTGGTGGTCATCGACGACTACTCCAGGTACACCACAGTGTTCCCTCTTGCAAAGAAGTCCGAGGTGACTGCTACGCTGATCAGGTGGCTTCTAGCCACTGAGGGCACTCGTGGTCGTCGAGTCAGTTGTCTTCACTCCGACCGTGGGGGTGAGTTTCGCTCCGGCATTCTCAGCGCATTCTGCGGCGAACAGGGCATCACCCAGTCCTGGACGCTGCTAGAGTCCCCACAGCAGAATGGGGTTGCTGAGTGCCGCATAGGCTTGGTCATGGACATCGCCCGCACGTCCATGATCCATCTCGTGCGCCCCATTTTCTGTGGCCTCACGCGGTTCGCTACGACGCACACCAGCTGAACCTCCAGCCGCGTCTCTCGCGGCCCGAGGCTTCACCGACCAGTCTTTGGACTGGTTCCCCTGGTGTTGGGTCGGCCTTTCGAGTCTGGGGCTGCCTTGCACTTGTTCGCGACACCTCCGCGGTCAAGCTCTCGGCACGCGCCGTCCCCTGTCTCTTCCTTGGTTTCCGAGTGGACTCTGCCGACTGGTCCTTTTACCACCCACCCCTCCACCAGTTCCTAGACTCCCGTGACGTCCGGCTTGACGAGTCTGTGTCCTACTACACCCGGTACCTCTGTCAAGGACTCCCGGTACCCCCTCCCCCCCTGTTCCTAGCACCCTCTCCTCCTCCTGGTCCTGCTCCTCCGGTACCCCCACCCCCCCTGGTCCTGCCCCGTCTGGTGTGTCCCACGCTACCCCTCTACCCTCGGTCGCGCGTCAGGTAGCGTCTCCCTCCCCGCAGTCCTCCTCACAGTCCCCTCAGCAGCCTTCAGCACTTCCGCGACAGGTTACTGTGGACTCGGTTGGTGTTGGAGCTGGAGGTGCAGCCGCTGGCGGTGCTCGGTCTGGGGGTGCTCGGTCGCAGGGTGTTGGGGCTGGAGGTGCTGGCGCAGGTGGCGTTGGCTCTAGGGATGCTGGAGCTGGAGGTGCTGGCACTGGAGGTGCTAGTTCTGGGGGTGCTGGAGTTGGAGGTCCCTGGCACTGGAGGTGCTGGTTCTGGGGGTGCTGAGTCTGAGGAGACTAACGCTGGAGACCCTGGTTCTGCGGAGTCCACTCCGCCTCCCCACCGCCACGACACGCGTCTCCAGGCTGCCCGTCGGCGTGAGCGTGAGGAGCAGGAGCGGTTGGAGAGGGAGCGGCAGGAGCTGCGATTGCTGGACCTTCTGGAGCAGCAGCGGCAGCAGCAGCAGCAGCAGCAGCAGCCGCCGTCTCCACTTCAGCAGCAGCAGCCGCAGCCGCCACCGCAGCTTCCTCTGGAGCGGCAGTTGTTCCCACCTGTGAGTGGCCTACGGGCCCTTGGCCTTTCCTCCTCTCCTCCTATCCGCTCCCAGTCTCCTCCTGTGTTTGTTCCTCCGTTGCCTCCTCCTGACGATTGTCCGGCGGTCTGGTCTTCTCCTCCTCCTCGATCTCCTCCTCACTCTGTCCGTCACGACTTGATCACTCATTGTCCTCCGCGTGCTCGTCACTCGTCCCCTATTACTGACCTCCACACTGCCCTCCTTTGTTCGTCCCATCGTCGTTCTCGTTCTCCTCGCCACTCTTGTCACTGACTCTCGTTTCCCTCCGTCGTCTGCTTCGGCTCTTACTGCCGCTGTCACTGAGTTTGCTGCCGCCAGCCGCCTTGACTACGCCACCTGGGTGGTGCCAGCTCCTCCCTACCGTCCTCTGTCCGTCGGGGGTGGGTTTGCCCTTGGCTGTGACGTGCTAGAGGACAGAGAGTCTGAGCTGGAGTACTGGGCAGCCGCTTCTCCCTCTGTGTGTGCCATGCTGCTCTCCCCTGAGGGAGACCCCGACGCCCTTGACATACCGACTCCTCGGACTTACCGCGAGGCAGTGTCAGTGGCGTGGGCCTCTCAGTGGAAAGCGGCTGTGGACTCAGAGTTGGCGTCTTGGAGATCCACAGGCACCTACGTCGACGTAGTTCCCCCTCCCAGGGCGAACGTAGTCGATGGCATGTGGTTCTTCAAGGTGAAGCGGCCGCCTGGAGCACCGCCGGTGTTCAAGGCGCGCTACGTGGCTAGGGGCTTCAGTCAGCGTGAGGGAGTTGACTTCTTCCAGACCTTCGCCCCGACCCCGAAGATGACTACTCTTCGGATGTTACTCCACATAGCAATGCAGCGAGACTACGAGCTGCACTCCCTCGACTTCTCCACTGCGTTCCTCCAGGGCCGACTGCATGAGGAGATCTGGCTGCGCTGTCCTCCTGGCCTCACTGACACCTTCCCACCTGGGACCCAGTGGAGCCTGAGGCGACCAGTCTACGGTCTTCGCCAGTCGCCCCGTGAGTGGCACGACACTCTTCGCTCCACGCTTCGTGACCTTGGGTTCAGCCCGTCCTCCGCCGACCCGTCGCTGTTTGTTCGAGCGGGTTCTACTCCTTTCTTTATCCTTATCTACGTCGACGACTTGGTGTTTGCTACAGCTGACAGGGCAGCCCTGGCTCAGGTGGAGTCCGAACTGCAGAAGAGACACAAGCGCACTGACCTGGGTGAGCTGCAGCGCTACCTTGTCCTGCAGATCACCCGGGATTGAGCCGCTCGCACCATCACACTGACGCAGTCACACATGGTGCAGCAGGTCCTTCGGTGGTTCGACTTCCAGTTCTCCACCACACAGCCCACTCCTCTTACTGTTGACCACAGACTCACGGGCCCCTTTCCTGACGAGCCCTTCGAGTCTAGTGGACCCTACGCAGAGCTGGTGGGCTGCCTCATGTACCTGAAGACTTGTACTCGACCGGACCTCGCCTTTCTCCTCAGCATCCTTTCTCGCTTTGTTGCGACTGGGAGAGACTGCCCTGTCCACTGGACAGCTGATGTGAGGGTGGCGAAGTACTTGGCGACTACATCAGGCATGGGGCTTGTGCTTGGAGGGACTCAGCCAGTGGCGTTGACTGGTCACTGCGACTCTTCCTACGCTGACGACTTGGAGACTCAGCGCTCGACTCAGGGTTACTGCTTCAGTCTGGGAGCTGGTGCTGTGTCGTGGAGGTCTACACGGTCGTCGTCTGTGGCTACTTCCAGTGCAGAGGCAGAGATCTACGCTGGTGCCATGGCGGCATAGGAGCTTCGCTGGTTGACCTTCTTGCTCGCCGACCTTGGTGAGCGGCCTCGCTCTGCACCGACCTTATACGCTGACAACAAGGCCATGATCCTCCTGTGTCGAGAGCCTTGACTGGAGAGCAGAGTGAAGCATATTGACGTGAGGTACTTCCTCCTGCGAAAGCTGCAGCGACGTGGCCAGGCACGCCTGGATTTTGTGGCCTCAGAGGCCAACACTGCAGACGTCTTCACCAAGGTCTTGGCACTTGGTGATCACCACAGGTTCTGTGTGAAGTCGGGGCTTGTTGAGGTAGGCCCTCGGTTGCTGTAGTCTTGTTGTTTGCTCTACTTGTTGTGCTTCCTATTTATATCCTAGTGAACTCTTGAACTGGCCTTGTGGCCGCTTGCTTGCGCTCGGAATTTGTGTGGTGTCCTAAGATCCACCCTGGGCTTGCCTTGTTTCTTGCTTTGACTGGTCTTGTGACCGTTTGTTCACCTTGCTTGTTTTGATGCCCCTCACTTAGCCTATGGGGGTGTGTCAAATGAAATTGTATGGTTGTAGGCTACAATGAGTAGCACAATAGGGAGTACAGTTGTTAGGGTTGCATATTTGTACTTCCATACTTCCTAGTTTCATCATTCCGTTGCATTCCTATTCTGAGAACCATGTACTACCGTATCACCCCATATATAAGCGCAGGCCTATTAAAAGCGCATGCGCTTATATCTGGAGCAATGCGTTTAAGGCCGATCCTCATTTATAAGGGCACCCCTTATCAAACCCTCATATATTATCAGCGCATGTGTAATTTTAAATTTAAATCCTTGGTAACAAATTTCTATTTTGCAGCGAGGCCACTACCATTTTCGCTTAGGTTGACTTCCGAGGACCTCACATCCTGCGTGTCCAGTCAGCACGAGCTGGCACGCCCTCAAAGTGAGGTGTTACACACTTTGCCTCTGCGCCGGCAATGAATCGCCCGTGCGCGATTCTGATCTGTGACACTTCACAATTTCGATTCGATTGAAATCGCAGGGATCAGATGTACAATTTGGTGTTTTATAAATATGTACTAGTCATTTTATAAGCACATGCGCTTATTTTTTTTACTCAATTATAAGCGCACCCCCCTAAAATACACTGTTTTATTATAAGCGCATGTGCTCTTATACCTGGGGTAATACGGTACATGAATACATAAAAAAGAAACACACACATGCACTCACATACACAAACACAGAAAAAAAACAGACCATAATACAGCAGAGGTCTAATGGTAAACGCAGCAAAGTTCCATCCAAGCAATTACATCTCTGGCACAGTATCCACTAAAGGGTGATTGACAAGGAACAGCTGCAGAGTTCAGCGTGCTGACACCATGGCTCCAAACTGGGGCTGCATTGGTATTGGAAGCATGTGCCTGCGGAGGGGTGCTCACCCATAGGAGGCACTCATGTGTATTGAGCAGCCACACAAAGCTGCAATCATAAGGCAGCAATGAGAAGCATTGGAGTGGAGATATTAATTGCCACAGCACATGCCGAAAGTGCATAGCAGTGCAAGCATTTAGACCAGTACACCCCTCACAATAGAGAAGCTATAGATGTGCCCATACTTACACCATCAATGTTGCGCAGGGAATCGCGGAAGGAGATCCAGGGGTTGAGCCTGCAGAGGTCCACCATGGTGGCTCCATTGGATGCCGCCACCTGCTTGAAGTCCACCACTCGCCCAATCCGTATCTCCTTCACACATCTCGGCTTGGTCTTGGCTGGGTTGCGCTCCACACAGAGAGCGCGGAACGCAAGGAGGCGAGAGGAGCAGCTAACACCGGGGTTGAGCTGCTGCAGGCTTTCCTCGGTGATGCTGAGAAACTGAGCCACGGACGAGCATGTGTCGGCCTGTGGGAGGGAAATCAAAGGGGAAATTGGTAAGGAGAGGATTTGAGATGGAAAGAGGTGGTCAAAGGGGGTGAAGGAAGACGAAGTGGGATGCGGTGTTTCTGCTGCTTGGGCGAAAGATGGTCAGGCGAAGTGTGAAGGGTGAAGAGGAATCACAGCACATGTCAGCACATGGTGGCACATCTCATACACGATTGCATGGGATGCTCCCAGAGCAGGAGCAACATGTGAGACTCACTGGCTGGGTGTAGTAGAAGGCAGAGCAGGCTGGCAGAAGCTCTTTCACCACGAGCTCGTGACCCTGAGGAAGGAGAGCAGAGCAGTTGATACCCTGGAGGGTAAGGGGCAGATGGAGAGTGAAAGGGTGAGGAAGAGGGAGACAGCGGAGTAGAGGGACAGAGAGAGAGGATGAGAGAGGAAGAAGGTGAGCGAGAGGTGAGGTGGAAAGAGTGGGAGAGGGTGAGAGAGCAAGAGAGGGTGAAAGAGGGTGGAAAGGAGATATGGCACAGAATCAAGAAACGGCTTGACATGCTCAAAAGATGCACACAGGCTTGCAGGAATTGAGATGATATGGCGCAGCATGTGGCAGGTCTCACCGGGTTCATGTGGGTGAACTTTGAGACCTGGCGCATGCTGTGGGTTTCAAGGCACCTCCAATCAGACCCACGGGACTCACCTTGTTCATGGCGATGAACTGCTGCAGCGTGAGGCCATACATGCTGTACACGTCCTTGCACCTCCAGGTGCTGCCCGCGACTGTGATGGACGAAATGGGCTCCCAACCCTGATCTGCACACGCTCAACGGGAAGGGTGGTGAGGCCATGTACGTGGCCAGCTATTGGTGACAACAACACAGCAACACAATTTGATCCACGAAACACACAGCTTGAGTTGCCACGTGTAAAGTGTTCGCAACCACTATTGTCTGAAGCGTTGCCACAGTTGTAACCATGAGAGCACACGACAATTGTAACCATGAGAGCGCACCACAGTTGTTTGTAACCATGAGAGCGCACCACAGTTGTTTGTAACCATGAGAGCGCACCACAGTTGTTTGTAACCATGAGAGCGCACCACAGTTGTTTGTAACCATGAGAGCGCACCACAGTTGTTTGTAACCATGAGAGCGCACCACAGTTGTTTGTAACCATGAGAGCGCACCACAGTTGTTTGTAACCATGAGAGCGCACCACAGTTGTTTGTAACCATGAGAGCGCACCACAGTTGTTTGTAACCATGAGAGCGCACCACAGTTGTTTGTAACCATGAGAGCGCACCACAGTTATTTGTAACCATGAGAGCGCACCACAGTTGTTTGTAACCATGAGAGCGCACCACAGTTGTTTGTAACCATGAGAGCGCACCACAGTTGGTTTGTAACCATGAGAGCGCACCACAGTTGTTTGTAACCATGAGAGCGCACCACAGTTGTTTGTAACCATGAGAGCGCACCACATTTGTTTGTAACCATGAGAGCACACCACAGTTGTTTGTAACCATGAGAGCGCACCACAGTTGTTTGTAACCATGAGAGCGCACCACAGTTGTTTGTAACCATGAGAGCGCACCACAGCTGTTTGTAACCATGAGAGCGCACCACAGTTGTTTGTAACCATGAGAGCACACCACAGTTGTTTGTAACCATGAGAGCGCACCACAGTTGTTTGTAACCATGAGAGCACACCACAGTTGTTTGTAACCATGAGAGCGCACCACAGTTGTTTGTAACCATGAGAGCGCACCACAGCTGTTTGTAACCATTAGAGCGCACCACAGTTGTTTGTAACCATGAGAGCACACCACAGTTGCTTGTAACCATGAGAGCGCACCACAGGAGCGGCCATGAGAGCTTACCACAGTAGCTGCCATGGGAGCGGTGGTTGGGCAGACAGACACAGGTCCTGTCCTCGGTGCCGCGGTCGATGCACGTGCCCACCAAACACCCGTTGACTCTGTCGTAGCCACACACGCCGGCTGGCGGGTGAAACACACAAGGGGCAGAGAATAGCAGGCAGCGGAGTGGCAAGACAAGGAGGATACGATTGGAGGATCCGTGGGGCAGGAAAGGGCAGAGAAGACGAGGAACATTGCTGCTGCCAGTACTGAAATGCTTTGATCAGGCAACGGTGCTTCCCAGGGGCACAGGCGATGCCAGCCCCAACACAGCCTCCTCGCGTGGGAACCGTATCGGTTTTGGCAAGAATGGAGGTGGCATAGCGAACCACCGTATTGGGGCTTACTGCTTGAACTCTCTTCGTCGGGGTACTCAGAAGGAGGTGTGGTGTCGTCGCTGGGAGGAGGTGTGGTGTCGTCGCTGGGAGGAGGTGTGGTGTCGTCGCTGGGAGGAGGTGTGGTGTCGTCGCTGGGAGGAGGTGTGGTGTCGTCGCTGGGAGGAGGTGTGGTGTCGTCGCTGGGAGGAGGTGTGGTGTCGTCGCTGGGAGGAGGTGTGGTGTCGTCGCTGGGAGGAGGTGTGGTGTCGTCGCTGGGAGGAGGTGTGGTGTCGTCGCTGGGAGGAGGTGTGGTGTCGTCGCTGGGAGGAGGTGTGGTGTCGTCGCTGGGAGGTGGTGTGGTGTCGTCGCTGGGAGGAGGTGTGGTGTCGTCGCTGGGAGGTGGTGTGGTGTCGTCGCTGGGAGGAGGTGTAGCGTATCGGGCAGCCACACAAAGCTGCAATAGAAGTTGCACCAGTTGCAAAGGAACACACAGGAGTCAAGGAATGGAATCATTAGAAGCTACAAACCATGCTGGCAAATGGGAATTCATTGATCTTATCAAATATGACTTGTATATGAAATATGTATCCACCAGCAATGCACAATCAGCCACTACTCAGTCATTTGCCTTGAACTTACACCATCAATGTCGCGTAGGGAGTCGCGGAAGGAGATCCAGGGGTTGAGCCTGCAGAGATCCACCATGGTGGCTCCATGGGATGCCGCCACCTGCTTGAAGTCCACCACTCGGCTGATCTGTATCTCACTCTCACAGGTTGGCCTGCCCTTGGCTGGGTCGCGCTCCACACAGAGAGAACGGAACGCAAGGAGGCGAGAGGAGCAGCTAACACCGGGGTTGAGCTGCTGCAGGCTTTCCTCGGTGATGCTGAGAAACTGAGCGACGGACGAGCACGTGTCGGCCTGTGGGAGGGAAATTAAAGGGGAAAATGGTAGGGAGGGGGAGGGGAGGGGGGGTTAAGAAGGAGAGGTGGTCAAAGGGGGTGAAGGAAGATGCAGCAACACAGAGGTAGTGGAACGCTAAGAACGCCGAGGTGCAAAAAGGGTCGAGTAGAACGTGGTCTTCCTGCTTGGGCGAAGGATGGTCAGGCGAAGAGTGAAGGGGGAAGAGGATGCACAGCACATGGTGGCATCCCCGCTATCCATACGTGATGCATGGACTGCTCTCATAGCAGGAGCAACATGTGAGACTCACCGGCTGGACGTAGTAGAAGGCAGAGCAGGCTGGCAGAAGCTCGTTCACCACGAGCTCGCGACCCTTAGGAAGGAGAGCGGAGCAGTCGATACCCTGGAGGGGAAGGGGGGAGAGGGTGAGAGAGATGGAGACAGTGGAGCAGAGGGAGAGAGAGAGGGCGAGAGAGGGAGAGGTTGAGAGAGGAAGAGGGTGAGAGAGAGACGTGAGGTGGAAAGAGTATGAGGCGGAGGGGGTACAGAAACAATAATGGATCGAGATGCACAATTAAAGGCACACACACAGGCTTGCAGGAATGGAGATGGTATGGCTTGCACGCAGCATGTGGCAGGGCTCACCTTGTTCATATCGGTGAACTGCTGCAGCGTGAGGCCATACATGCTGTATACATCCTTGCACCTCCAGTCGCTGCCTTGGACTGTAATGGACGAAATGGGTTCCCAATCCTGATCTGCCATGGAAGAAAAAAGCACACCTTGAGTTTCAATGTGTGAACATATGTTTGCAGTATAGACCATTGTCAGGAGCGTTGCGAGCAGCGAGAGAGCTTACCACAGGAGCGGCCATGAGAGCTTACCACAGTAGCTGCCATGGGAGCGGTGGTTAGGCAGACAGACACAGGTCCTGTCCTCGGTGCCGCGGTCGATGCACGTGCCCACCAAACACCCGTTGACTCTGTCGTCGCCACACACGCCGGCTGGCGGGGGAAACACACATCAAGCAGAGGACGGCAAGAATGAAGTGGCAGGTAAGATACAATTAGGGGATCCGTGGGGCAGGAAAGGGCAGACTAAGGCGAGGAGCATCGCGGCTGCCGGTGCTTCCCAAGCGATGCCACCCCCAACATAACCTTTTTTTGCGTGGGAACCAGATCGGTTTTGGTGAGAATGGATAGTGGCATGGCGAAACGAACAACTGCATTGGGGCTTACAGCTTGAACTTTCTGCATCGGGATACTCGGAAGGAGCTTTGGTGTTGCTGCCAGCAGCTTTGGTGTTGCTGTCAGCAGCTTTGGTGTTGCTGTCAGCAGCTTTGGTGTTGCCGTCAGCAGCTTTGGTGTTGCCGTCAGCAGCTTTGGTGTTGCCGTCAGCAGCTTTGGTGTTGCCGTCAGCAGCTTTGGTGTTGCCGTCAGCAGCTTTGGTGTTGTCGTCAGCAGCTTTGGTGTTGCTGTCAGCAGCTTTGGTGTTGCCGCCAGGAGCTTTGGTGTTGCTGCCAGGAGCTTTGGCGTTGCTGTCAGCAGCTTTGGTGTTGCTGTCAGCAGCTTTGGTGTTGCTGTCAGCAGCTTTGTTGTTGCTGTCAGGAGCTCTGCTGCTGGTGGAGCCAGTGATGCAGCGGGCGGACTTGACTGCCTTGCGGAGGGGCTTGGACCTGCGCACGGGGAGAACCATGAGAGCAGGCCGCTGGTCAGAACGGGGGATGAAGGAATGGCGTTAAGAGCATAGAAGCAGCTAGATGGAGAACGAGGGGCTCACCTCTGCTTGCCTTGCACGAGGGGCTCACCTCTGCTTGCCTTGCACGACAGTGTCCACCGCCTTCCCCGTGCACTTGGGACTCTTGAAGAACTGTATCGCCGTGCAACCCGCCTCGCCTTCCTGCTGCCACGACACCTGCACTCTCCTCGTCCCGCCGCCGGCTGGAATGGCGGCACAGCGGAGCGCGTTGAAGGTGAGAGAGCGGCCGTTGATCTTCATCCGCGTGCCAACCACTTGGTCATCCTCGCTCGCCGCCTTGCTCGATGCCTTGCTCGATGCTGCGTCTGCTGCCTGCGATGATGCCCTCAGGGGACTCGCTGCAAGGATGGGAGCACGTGAAATGCGAAGACGAGGCGAGCGGGCGTGAGGTGCACTCAGTGCGCCGATTTGCACTCAGTCTCGTGTCCGTGAGGTGCATTTGAACGCGCGAGCAAGATGGCGATGCGAGGATGTGTACATGGGTGCATGAGCGCGTGCGCGCATAAATATGATGCAGCGTACCAACGGTGACGGCCATGACGACTCGTATGATCAGATGTAAGGTGGGTACACGGGGTGGAATGAGCGCACAAAGACAATGTGCCGTACCAGCGATGACGACTATAACGGCGAGCAGCGCGAGCACTGCCTTGCCCTTCCCCATGCTGCTGCCGCGTGCCGCGCGACCGACTCTTCGCCCGTGACGGCCGTACAGATGTCGAAGGGCTCGCGAGAGGACTCTCGGAGAAGATTTTGGCTGGAAAATAGCACGAAGATGGTGCAGCTACTCAATGAAAGCTGGAAGAGCGAGAAAGTTGTAAGATTTACAGCACCGGCAGGTTTGGTGCTAAATGCAGTTATGATAGTGAAGAGGGCAATCCCTCGCGGATCATAATATACGACAGCAGCTTCAGTGTGACCCGCAGAATGCGCGAGGCGGGGACCCCTGTGACTGGAGATGCACACCTTGCCCATCATGGGCGCCAAGCTTTGGGCTGTACTCATCGCTAGAAAGTAGTCGCAGAGAACGCGTTACGGAAACACTTCGGCCTGGCGGAGCCTCTGTGGGGTGGGATGCTAGCGAGTAATTTGCGGGGATTGAATTGGGTCATGAAAGATGCCATTCTCGCATCTTACGAGTGACTGAAATATCTTAATCTGGTGTGGAATGGTCTAAAGCGGTGAAAACCGAAAACCGTTTCGAACGCGGTAAGGTACCGCGTGAGGATCTCTAATCGAATAGAAAAGAGCCGCATTATTGAAAGTGAAGTCAAAGGAGACTCGCAATATTAAAGCCCGGGTACAGCATGGTATTTTTCAAGTTCAAGATTCTTGAACTTGAAGTCGCCAAAAACAGGGTTACCCTCTTTGGTTTGAAACACAACTCGTGAGGCAGGGGAAAACGCTTGCGACGGTCGATCCTGATTGGTTTCTGAGCCCAGTCGCACAACAGATCCGACCATCGCTCACTAGGTTGCCCCAATCTCCTCTCACATATCTTGAAGACCAAGTAGTACTCCTAGCCCGTAACTATGAAACGCACGGCAGGGCGATAAAGGCTAGCTCTGGTAGAGGCGTTTTTTTCCATCCAACTCTACTCACTCACGCTGTCTTGCCAATAGCTGAGCAGCACAACTTCATGCCAAACACGCTATTACCGCACCATTTTCGCATGCCAGACACGGAACGTCCGTTCTAGCGCACGACACGCGTAGTGCTCGTAAATGGCATTTTCGAGTCGCTAGTCGCGATCCCGCTTACATTCCCTCCCGTCGTTCGATCCCTACCATCACTGATCACTCGTCCCTCTTTACCTGCCGCCCTCGCTTCCTCTCTTGTCGTCGCTTTCGTTGCCCGTCGTCCCTCTCCATCACCCTCGCGTCTCTTGCTGTCGGCCACGCTAGGTCCATACTAAGCCTTCCGCGTCACCCTCATCTCCCCTGGTCGTCGCCCTATTTCGCCTCGTCGACCGTAATTCCCCTTGAAAAAGCGTTCTTTTTAAAATCAATCTTGCTTTTTTTTCACATATACATATATATTTTAGTCGCCCGTAAATCCCCGCTTCGCCCGTAATTCCCTTGTCCCCCTCGTCTCTCTCGCTACCCTTCGTCGCCCGCAATTCCCCACGCCGCCCGCGATTCCCCAGGATGCCGTCTCCCACGTTTCCCCCCGTCGCCCGGCTTTCCCACCACGCACCACTCGCCTTCCCCCCCACATACACCACCCATCTTATTCTCCCCACACCACCTGCCTTCCCCCACGCACAGCACCGACCTTCCTCCCCCCGCACCACCCGCCTTTGCCCAACACCACACGCCCTCGTGTTCCTCCTCATACCCGCCCTCCTCCCCCCCACATACCCGTCCTCCTCCCCCCTATATACCCGCCCTCCTCCCCCCGACATACCCGCCCTCCTCCACCCCACATACACGGGACAGAGGAGGAGGGTGAGAGGGGGAGGAGGAGAGGGGGAGGGAGAGAGGGGGAGGGACAGAGGGGGAGGGACAGAGGGACGGAGACAGTGGGGGAGGGAACGAGGGGGAGGGGGAGAGGAGGAGGGAGAGAGGGGGAGGGAGAGAGGGGGAGGGAGAGAGGAGGAGGGAGAGAGAGGGATGGACAGAGGGGGTTTGAAAGATGGTGTTGGATGGGAGGGGGTTGGATGGATTGTGTGAGACGGGGGGGTGATTTGAAATTGGGTGATGGTGTGAGATGGAGGGATTGTGTGCGATGGAGGGATGGAGCATGGGATGAGATGGCATAGTCTGCACATTATGCTGCAGGGTGTTTTTGAGAATTCTCTAGAACACCCTGCTCACTCCCGTCCTCTCTTCCTCGGCCCCCACACCATCCTCCCTCCAGCTCTCTCCCCGTCATTTGCCCCCGTTCCCCCGACCCCCTTCCCTGCTTCCCCCTATCCCCTTCCCTGCTTCCCCCCATCCCCTTCCCTGCTTCCCCCCATCCCCTTCCTTGCTTCCCCCCATCCCCTTCCCTGCTTCCCCCCATCCCCTTCCCTGCTTCCCCCCATCCCCTTCTCTCTCTCAGCCCAGTTGCACTCTCTCTCCGTCCTCTCGCACTCTCACTCTCCTTCCCACGACCCTCAGCCCTCCTTCCCCCGACCCTCTGCCCTGTTCCCACCTGCCCTCCCAATCCCTGCCTTTCCCTCCCTGCCCTACCCTTCCCTTCCTCATCCCTTCTCAACCCTTCCTTCCTTTTCATGCCCTCCCCTTCCCCCTCATTTCTCACTTTCCGCCCTCTAGTTCCCATGCATGTGCACCCATCCATCACTGTTTCCCCATACATGATTTCATCGTGTGCGCTTGCTTGTATCCCCTTGCGGGTGTTCAGTGGCACCTCACACCACCTCCCCCATGTTTCTTCACACAATCCTTTCTGCTTACTCAATTTCCATAATTTTTAGTGGTGAAGCAGAGGAGCAAGCTGAGGCGCAGCTAGTCGATGCTTTACACCGTACCACCACCTGTTTCTTGTGTGTCGTATGCAACAACAGATACTCCGTTACTGCTGGAGATATCCATCTCAAAGGAACATTATGTACTTGTGTTTCTGTACTGCAAGATATTCTTACAAGATGCATGGACACTGAGAGTGTCAGATCAGAAGGGTACATAGAGGCATGTTCCAAATACTTCTTATTGTACCTTTCTCAAGGCCTTGAAAAAACACGAAAGGAACTGGTTTCTCTACGAGCATGGCATGGGATGATGGGCTGAGGCGAGTTGCAGTATCAGAAAAAGGTCAAACAGGGGAACAAGAAAAAGGTCAAACAGGGGAGATATGGGAGATATGGGAGAGCAGGGAAGGACATGATGAGAAGCAGGGAGGGACATGATGAGAAGCAGTGGGGGAAATGAGGGGAAGCAGGGGGGGAAATGAGGGGAAGCAGGGAGGGAAATGAGGGGAAGCACGGGAGGAAATGAGGGGAAGCACGGGAGGAAATAAGGGGAAGCACGGGAGGAAATGAGGGGAAGCAAGGGATGAAATGAGGGGAAGCACGGGAGGAAATGAGAGGAAGCACGGGAGGAAATGAGGGGAAGCACGGGAGGAAATGAGGGGAAGCACGGGAGGAAATGAGGGGAAGCAAGGGAGGAAAGGCGGGACAGAGAGGAAAGGGGGGAGTGCGGAAGAGAGGAAGGGTGCAAGTGAGGAGATTGGACGAGGGAGGGAACAGGGGGTTAGCATGGGAGAAGCAAGGGGCTAGAAGGGAGGGAACAGGGTGTTAGCATGGGAGAAGCAAGGGGCTAGAAGAGAGGGAACAGGGGGTTAGCATGGGAGAAGCAAGGGGCTAGAAGGGAGGGAACAGGGGGTTAGCATGGGAGAAGCAAGGGGCTAGAAGGGAGGGAACAGGGGGTTAGCATGGGAGAAAGGGGGGAAAGGAGGGGGAGCAAGGGGAGAAAGGAGGGGAAGCAAGGGGGCAATGGAAGGGAAGGAGGGGGGGAGAGGAGGGGAAGCATGGGGGGAAAGGAGGCGAAGGAAGGGGGGAAAGGAGGGGAAACAGGGGCGGAAAGGAGGGGAAGCAAGGGGGGAACGGAGGGGAAGCAAGGGAGGAAAGGAGGGGGAGCAGAGAGGGAAAGGAGGGGAAGCAAGGGGGCAAAGGAGGGGAAGCAGGGGGAAAGGAGGGGAGGCAGTGGAGAAAAGGAGGGGAAGCAGGGAGGGAAAGGAGGGGAATTAGGGGGGGAAGGGAGGGGAAGCATGGGGGGGAAAGGAGGGGAAGCAAGGGTGGAAATGAGGCGATGGAAGGGGGGAAAGGAGGGGAATCAGGGGAATTCGCGCCTCATCCCCTTCCGCAGTCACCGTGTCGAGTCGCCTCAGTACTCCCATATCGCGCTGTTTCGCGCTCTTCTCAACGCTCCTTTCATCGACCACGCATGCACATGTTATGGCACGTCACCTACGTTAAAAATTTCTGTTGTTAGCTACTGCGGTTATGTCACACGCGAAGTGGTTAGCTTGTTTGACCGTGGTTTTTCTTCTGAGGGGGTTGGTGCTTTCCGTTTCGTTCTTGCTGGTAGTTGGATTGTGCGAGGACATTCTCCCCTACTTGAACCTGATTGGCTGAAGAACAATCCTAGCGACACTCATTCCAGTCGCAGATCTTTGCGTCACGTTTGGCGAAGACCCCTTTCCCCCTCGTCAACCCATCCCTTTCTCGCTACACTGACTTTGCCGAAATTATTGTTTTCAATGTTTCGCCACCACCATTTCAAACCCACATAACTTGATATTTTACCATGCTGACCTCGGGCTTTAACTGTTCCCACTTATGGTCGTGAATGCATTGGCTTCATAGTGCATACATACGACTTTAATTTCGAATTCCCCGTTACCGAACCTCTTCGATTTCAATTTCTTTGGTTTCAATTTCTTCAGTCCTGCATCAGCACGATGTGTGTGTGGCGTTCAACGCTAAATCATGGTACCATATTCCATTTAAGGAATGTCAATCCAACCACCCCCCCTACCCTCCAACCACCCACCCTACCCTTAACCCCCCCCCCCCCCCCCCCCCCCCTCCCTCCCTCCTTCGACTACCCCGTCTTCCCCCTTCCCGTCAAACACCCCATCGTGGTCCCAAATAGCACCAAGCACGCCTTGCCGCGCACCGTGCCGCACTCTGCCGCACGTGCCTGCAACGCCCTTCTGCCCGCCCAGCCGCGCTCTGTCATGCGCGTCTGCTGCGCCCTGCATGCCTGCCGCGCACTCTGCCACCACGCCTACTACGCACTCTGCAATTACGCCTGCTGCTGTGCCTGCCACGCGCCTACCGTGCGCTCTGGCTCAGTACCTCTATCTGTCGTCTCCTCCGCCTGTTGCTCTTCTCTCTCATCTTGCAGCTGTTGGGCTGAAAAAGCCCTAAGGATCTTTGTAGAGTTTAAGTCTGGGTAGGATTGTAATAGCGGAAGCGTTGAGTAAAAGGTCTTGAACCACCTTGCGCTAGTATGTGAGGGCAAAGTAAGTTGATTAAACAGGTAGATACAAAGGTTTATATAAGAGTACAAGGAATACGAATAGATATAATTAACTACCTTGCTGTTGCGATTCGATACAGTGCGACTCGGGCAACTGCTCAATGTCGAGTCAGTTGTGTGTCCTTGCTGTCGCGCTGTATTGGTCAAGTCAAAGGTCGCTGACCTTTGACCTTCGCGTAACCTCCAAGCGGTTACCCCAACCTCCGAGGGTTGACTCGCGATGCTTCGATTTGGACTGCTTCGCTTTTGTGTCCTTAGTTTCGAGACGACAGAGGCGCTTAAGACTTATTGTTCCCAACACTCCCCTTCGCTTCTGGAGTGTCGCTGATGGTGACGTGGCCTTGTCCAGTCAGCAGCATGCAGTACTCGAACTTCTGTTTTCCGAGCTTCTTGGTCAAATAGTCGGCTGCCATCTCGGACGTGGGACAGTAGGATAATTCGAGTTTTCCTTTCTCGATCTCGTCTTTCACGAAGAAGTATCGCAGAGCGATATGCTTTGTTCTGTTCGCGAATCCGCTTTTGTTGGCGATGCGAATTGCAGATTGGTTGTCGCAGAACAGGGTGAAGTTGGGTAACTCAGCTAACTTTGCTTCTTCCAGCAGTTCGCGAAGGTAGAGTCCTTCCTTGGTGGCTGAGCAGAGGGCGATATATTCTGCTTCAGCTGAAGAGAGAGCGATTAGTTCCTGCTTACTCGACTGCCAGGAGATAGGTCCGATAGGCTCAAGACGATAGACGTAGCCAGTGCGAGAGCGCCTGTTATCTGGATCGCCGGCATGGTCGGCATCGACATAGCCGATTAGTTTCGTTGACGCAGCTTCGTTCTTGTAGTAAGTCAGGCCGATCGTCGGCGTGCTCACGAGATAGTGTAGTGCGCGATCGAGCTCTGCCAGGTGATCTGCTTCAGGCTTCTTGAGGTAGGTAGCGAGCTGGCTAGCGGAGTAGGACAGGTCTGGGCGACAGGTGACGGCTGCGAAGAGCAGACAGCCTAGTTTTCGCTGGTAGTCGCGTATTCCGGCGGTCTTAAGTAGGACGGAGTTTCCTTGGCCGTTTCCTGCCGTGTAGCGGTATGGCGTGGTGATAGCGGTAGGTGTGAGCGAAAAACGTTTGGCGATCGTGTCGGCGTATTTCTAGGCGCTTAGATAGATTGCGTTATCTTCTTTGCGGATGTTGAGCCCGAGGTACTGCGTGACGGTAGAAGAGACCGTGAGCGTGAGGTCTTTCTGCAGCTCCCCTTCGAACCAGATGGTGACGTCGTCGGTGGAGCCGATGTAGAGGAGATCGTCGACGTAGACGATGAGTAGGATGTAGTTGGCGCCTTTAGTGAGTCGGTACATGCCTTGGTCATGAGGCAGTTGGCGGAATCCGATGCGGATGAGGCGGGTGTGCAGGTGCTGTTGCCACAGTCGTGGGGCCTGTTTGATTTTGTAGAGAGACTTTAGCAGCTGGCAGACCTGACTGGGTTCCCCGTGGGTACCGTGAGGGAGCTCGACGAAGATGTCGGCGTCGACAGGTGCGTAGAGGAAGGCGTTGGCGACATCAATTTGTCGCAGCTTCTTCTTCTTCATGGCGGCGACGGCGAGAAGGATTCGGAGAGAGGTATGTCGACTGACTGGAGCGAATGTTTCTGTGAAGTCCCGGCCCTGTTCCTGATCAAATCCTCGCACGACCCATCGTGCCTTGAACTTCTCAATTGTACCATCTGCTTTCGTTTTGATGCGGAAGACCCACTTCCCAGTGAGAATGGTCCTGTTTCTCGCTATGCTTGCTGGAACGATCTTCCAGGTGTTGCGTTCCTCCAATGCCTTTAGCTCTTTGTCCATTGCTTCACGCCATTTCTCTCTGTGTTCCCCCCCCAGAGCCTGTTGAACCGTCGCAGGCTCTTTAGGAAGAGGGGAGCCATGGACGGCGGTGACGAGGCCGAGGATTTGCAGTCCGGTCTGTGAGTAGCGGGGGAGTGTTGTGTCCTCGGGATAGGCTAATTCATCTCCCGTTTCTGGATCGGGTATGAAATTTGGCCCTATCCTTTCTGCTTCGATGGTGTTGGCTATTGCAGGTATTACGTAACCATTGTCGGCGAAGTGATAGAAGATTTCGGCGTTGTTACTTTCGCGAGGATTTTCTTCGTCCATGGGCACGTCGACGGAGCAGAACGGAAGAGGTCCGGCTTCCTCTGATGCGTTGTCAACGTTCTGTTCATCCCAGTCTGCTTCGTCCGCTGCTGAGGCGAAGGCTCGGTCACCACGAAAGCCACCTGTGGGGTCCTGATTCTCGTGCAAGTTGGCAAGGTACGTCTGAAGGGTGAGTCGTTCGTAGAAGATCACATCACGTGCTGCTACTGTTTCCTTAGAGTGGACGTCGAAGATTTTCCATGCGTTGTAAATTTTCTCGATGCCGAGGTGTAGTCCCCACTGTGCCCGTTGTGAAAATCTTCCCGCTCGTGCTTCTGTGGGTCGGTACTGTACCATGCACACGAAAACTCATAACATTTTTGTGCTACCCTGCTTCCCTGTCCACAGCAGATGCGGTGATGCGTTGTTCGGGAGTGACGACGACGACAGCAAGTTGTGCAGCATGACAGCATGGTCCATTGCTGCAGGCCACTGGTGGTTGGGTAGCCGCATGCCACGTAACAGTTTGCGCATGCTGTTCTACAGAGTCCTGTTCATTCGTTGTGCAACACCTTGCTGCTGATGTGCGTAGGGAAGGGAGAGGAGTTGCTTGATCCCCCTTTTCGCCAGGTACCGCTTGAAGCGGTGAGAGGTGTACTCTCCTCCTCCGTCTGACTGGAAGCTTTTCAGTTGTGTTCCTGATTCCCTCTCTGCTACCGGTAGCCAAGCGGCGAACGCTGCGAGAGCCATGTCGCAGCTGGGTAGGTTTAGATGCCAGACATATCGAGTGGCGGCGTCGATGAAGGTAATGGTGTAATTGTAGGTGACTTGTCCTGGTTCGCAATTGTAGAGGATGTCGCTGTACACCTTCTCGAGTGTGAGAAGAACTGAACGAGAATGAATGAACTATGAGTGAAGTGGGTACAAATAGAAAACCCTAATTGGGTTTTACCCCCTATGGGATACCCCACTATAGCCTACACAACAGCATAAGCTATATAATGTTCTCCCACACCCCCATAGGCAAAGTGGGGGAGAACAAGGGGTCACAAGACCTGTCAAGCAAAGCAAAGCAGAGCTCAGGGTGGATCAAAAAGTCACCACACAGTCCGAGCACAACGACAAGGCCACAAGGCCAGTTCACATGCAGGAGTACACACATATATATATAGAGCTAGACAAGCAAGAGCAGGTATATATATGTGACAGTACAAGCAAGGTCAAGAGGAGAGCAAGTGAGGCAAGACAGGTACAAGACCCAGCTGAGTGCAGAAGCGCTGATGGTCACAAGGCGCAAGTGCCTTGGTGAACACATCAGCAGTGTTGGCCTCAGAGGCCACGTACGCAAGCCGCAACTGTCCACGCTGTTGTAGCTCACGAGCAAGGAAGTAGCGGAGAGCAATGTGCTTCGTTCTGTGCTCCAGGCGCTGCTCTCAACACAAGGCCAGCATGGCCTTGTTGTCTACGTACAGCACTGGAGGAGAACGAGGCGGCTCTCCAAGGTCACTCAGCAGGTAGGTGAGCCAGCGAAGCTCCTGTGTAGCCATGGCCCCGGCGTAGATCTCAGCCTCACAACTAGAGCCGAGAACAGAAGACGAGCGAGTAGCCCGCCACGAG